AGGGACAAAATAAATCAAAACACAAATCAAACTATAATAAGATTTCCATAGAAAATTAGACTGGATTATTACGTTTGTTGATTTTGGTCTACAACTTTTTTCCTGGTCCAAAAAGATTTTGCATATATTTATTCTGAATAATAGTAGTCACTAACAAGCATTTATTTAGCACCCACTGTTCTGTGGATCAGGCAAGAAACTAAGGAGGTGTTGATATCCCTTGCAAAGAGACATACAGTGGGATTGGAGACCATGCTTGGGGAGAATAAACGTTAGTGAACTGAGCATCCAATAAAAAACAAACTAGACAAAAAATTCCTCATCCTTAAAAAGAATGAACAATATTTAAGTGTCAATGATTTTACTAAGCACTTATCCTTCCATTCTATATATCCCTCATGTGATTTTTACTGGTTAAGCAGACATGGGGGAAAATATTTTATTTTCTCTAAACCCTCTATTTAATAAAAAGAAAAGGAAGAAAGACCCCTTTGTCTTTAACTAAGACCCATAACTTAAAATCTCAGTACTCATTAAACAAGCTGGGGTAATTTTAAAGTTCCAATAAACCATTAAGCAAAATACAAAGTCTGAGCAATATATCAGTAAAGCTTAACATTTTTTTTCTTGAAACTGTATTACATGGAAATTGCCCATATTTGAACTTAAATTTAAAACCAAGATTGCCAACCACATAAGGTATATCTAGTTATACTAATACTAAATGATTGAAAACTCTCCTATTTCTCTTCACTTATCTTTTCCTGTTTCTTTCTAGTAGCTCAAGCTTTGACTCCCAACATATAAAAATATAATAGATGCTATTGGAAATCCAAAAGAAAGCTACTTGAAGGGAAGAATGCTACAATATTGCATTATAATGCATCTTCATTTTAACCATCCCATGACCTTGAGTCTTCCAACACCACGCCTAGATAGCCACACTATCCCACTCACCCAAGGAACTAAGGTGTATTCAGGATGTAAAATATTGTATGGCTGTATTGATACATTTAAGCAAACTTTATTCACTGTATAAATGTGGTTACTTTTTAGGACACAGAGCTCCCTAAGTCTTAATATCATACCTCTGTATGGTCCAATCACCTTAATATACTCAGTAGCTCTATGTATCAAATCATAACCCTTAATTCCTACAGAAACAGATTGATACAATATTCCTATGGCTACTAAGTAAAAGTTAAGGAATTCCACAAAATGTTAATGCACACAAAAATTCAATTCAGAAAAACTACTTTGCCCTAGTAGTCTTTATTAATACAATCCAAAATTATATCACTCATTTTTCACATTTTGAAATTTAAGTTCAAATATGTTCTTTAGCATACACTTACATAAAAATAGCTTTAAAAGAAACTTTTGTTTCAGAACATTTCATATACAATACTGTTTATGCATAAAAATTTTAAAAGCAAGCTTTGACTATGGTATATTTTATAGAAATATCTTTTAACTATGAATAAAGATCACAAATGTGTCAAATTGCATTTAGTTGGTACAAAATATTAGCTAAGCATGTAAAGAACATTTTGCACTTTCCTTTCTTCAAAAGAAACAGAGTAAGTATTTCAATTCCCATCTGTATTTGCATACATGCATTGGCAGTAATGTCTGTTGTAGTATCTTTGAAATAAACAGACCATGAAGGGTGCCTTTATACTAAGTGAAATTAAGACAGCCAATGTTTGAAAATATGCACATACGAATCTTTAGGTTAAAATACATTAAATTATCAGGCTTTTTTTTTCTGTGTAGCTGAAAAGTGGATGCCAAATTTAATTTTTCATAATATAGCATAGGTCATATATAATTCAGAAAATCCTTTAGAACAATATGTGCTTATGTTTACAAAGCTACATCAAACTACCTCTTAGAATGAACGTGTCAGGTGATAAAGGGAGCCTGCTGTGATAAGACCACCCTGACAGAGGAACACAAAAACACCCAACAAGCATGTAAAATCGGGTTACTTGCAATCTGTGTCACTCCACACTAAGATATTATGAAAATTTCACAATCTCCTTTATTTCCCCTCATGTCCTGCCCTTCCACAGCATCCTCAGATTTACTCTATGTTTAATGCAGCTGTACTATTTTTCTAATGATTTTCTCTGTCAAAGTACACAACATACTGATGTGGTCACACACTGTAACAGAGCTCCATAGATTTTTGTTGTTGTCGTTGTTAATAAGCATAGAAGTAACTAACATGTTTTTATGGGGTTAAAGTACTAAATAAAATTTCCAAAACAGACTCTAATTGGATGAGTAACTCAAGAAGAATTATTTGACATAAGTTAGTTTTGTTAAGTCTGGTAACAAAATTCATTTCAGGTGCCATTTTAATTGGTATGTATTCCTTCCAATGAAAAGAAATCCAATCCATGTATTCTTTCTTGATTCAAAACCATCACATCCATCTTTCGATTGCAGGTTTAAGTCCGATATCACTCTGTAAACAACCATGCCATTCCTCAGTTTTTGATATAGCTTCCAAACAGAAGTTTCAAAACAACTCTGACTAGCAAACACATCACTGTACTTTAAACAGACTGATGTTTTCTATCCCATGTTTCAGGAAGGTTAAAAGACACACGCACCAAGGCAAGGATCATCACTGTAGACAATAGATTCTAAGTGAGACTATTAACCCTTTAGGTAGATTAGGCAACACTTGTTTTTAAACTAACTACAAATCAAACGAAGTCTCTCTATCTCTCTCTCTCTCTCTCTCTCTTTTTTAAATGACTCACACTATCATGTTAGCAACAAATATGTCGGGGAGAAAAAACAGAGCTAGGTGTTTCAAACTGTGCTTACCTAAAATCTGCACCTAGTCACTTTACATTTTAGGAGATGCCCCTGTCTGAGATAATGAAGATTCTTTACAATAGGGAATTTAGGTTTAATTGTCGAACTTGAATACCATGTTATATAGGTCAAGTCAGTAATGTGCATCTTTCTCCTGAAACAAAGAAATTCAAGAGTAATAGGATTTCAGATTTCATAGTAGAAACAGCAAGATATGTTTTGAGAATGTCATTTACTGTAACACAAATCAATATTAAATGCTTTATGCAGGAAGCACACTTTCAGAAAATGGGCCCTAAAGCTTTCTGGGCTCCGACCCTAATTACTAGAGCAGGCTCTTGCCGTTTGTCTCTCTCTTCAATTATTTACAGGGCAAAAAGAGCCAAATGGCATTGCATTAGCTATATTAAATGCTATGTACTTGGTTTCTAACTTACTAATGGTACATAAAAATTACTAAGGTGAATGTGCCTGTAGAAATGGCCCTTTTTCTTCGGCACCTGAGTGTACGTATTTATTATTCATACAGTTAAGTGTTGAATAGGCTTCCTTTAGGCACCCAATGCTGCATAATTTAAACAAGTGCATTAAACATATATGATATCGAAAAGGTAATGCATTGATTATATCTCCAGATTTCTTTGAACAACCTGTATTTACAATGTAGCTCACAAAAAAAATGAGCACCTACCTTGGGTCCCTGAAAACAAATATGTGGGGACCACAAAGAAATGAATACTGGGTATCCTCGCTTCTACCACCTTGCTGCTTTCTGGCCACCCAAAGTAAGATGAGAACTGGGGGGAGTAAAAAGGAGGCCCTTGATTGCTAGAAAATTTCTGGTCTCAGTGCTGACAAGTGTCGTTTTTTATGTGTGCAAATACAGAGCTATGTTGTAGGTACATAACATGGACCACACACACTGTAAGAAAGGAAAGCTTATCAAGATCGAATCAGAGATTCTTTGCACCAGGCCAGGAACGTCCTCTGCCAGCCAGGAGGACACGATTACAACCTACCAAAGGAAATTCAAGCACTACATCATACTTGATTCTTTTGTGATCTAGGGCACCCGGAGTAGTGATAGAAGATGCTAATCGCTGAAGAAGGCTGGTGCATCCAACTTCAACCCTCCCAGATTATGAGAGAAGCTTCCAAAGCAGTGAGATGCTCACTCTTCATGGGCCCAATACATACATACATATATGTATTTTTTTAATGCGTTTCGGAATGCCTTAAATCTTACTGTAAAAAGGTAGGCCCACTAACAAGGTACCCAGGGTCCCTAGAAAGTCAGTTGCAATTTGTATGGCTATATGTCACCAGCTGTGTTACCTAAGAGTACTCCAAGGCCACTTGTGAGAAAGCACCACTGGAAATGCATCTGTGGTCCACATACAGGATAGTATTCTTCTAAACTAAAGTCACTTCTTTCTCTGCACTAAATCTGCCCATTGTCCCTCCTTTGCAAAAGCTACAGGGAAGATTAAAAAGGACATCAATGAACGCTGAGTGAACTTTGGCCACTTTTCTACCCAAAACACCAGCGTAAAAGTAGAAATCAGTAACCAGGTGAAGTGCCACACCGCACAAAGATCAAGGCGAGGGGCGGGCGCGCAAGGCCCGGAGGCGGGGAAGAAAATGTCCCGTCCTTCCCCCGACCCACCCCCCCACCGCCCCAGTCATCGCGCGCGCGGGAGGTTGAGGGGCGTCCCTCGGGGAGCCGGAGGCTGCGCACCACTCCGAGGGAAGGCAAGAGTTACCGCTCTCAGGGCGAGGCCCAGGAGAAGCGGTCGAAAAGCCGCGCCGCCCGCGGGTCCCGCCGCGGGGCCCCAAGCGTCCGCAGCCGAACCGCGAAGGTTCGGCGAGGGGCGCCGCTCGGCCCCGCGACCCTCCCGGCCTCCCGGGCCAGGAAGGGGCCGGCGGCTCTTTCCTGTCTAGTCTCTCCCCCCACGGCTTTCTGTAACCCGATCCCCGCACTCTGCTCCCCGGGCAGCCGCCGCCCCGCGCGCCGCCCCGCGCGCCGCCCCGCGCCACCCAGGCCAGCGCTATAGTTAGCAAGCCTCCATCAACTCCGCCGGGGGTGGCGGGGGCTCGTCGCGCGCGCCCCTGCCCGGGCCCGGCCCGCGCGCGCCCCCGGCATCCCCCGCCCCCCGGCTCCCCTTTACCTTCGCTTGAAGATACTGGGGGTAGTAGTAGGTGGCGTACTGAGGGTACATCTGCTGTTTCCACACTTTGCCCATGAAGCTGGAAGGGAGCCTGCCGTGAGCCTGCCGTGCAGGGTCGCGGGCACTTTGGGGTTTCCAAGTCTCGATCTCTCCTGCCTCTCCCTTTCCGGCGGCGGCGGCGGCGGCGGCGGCGGCGGCTGCCGCTGCTCCACCTCCCAGCCCGGACCAGACGTCGTCGTCGTCGTCCTCCTCCTCCTCCTCCTCCTCCTTCTTCTCCTCCTCCTCCCAGGCAGAGAGAAAGACACTGCAGAGCGGAGAGGGCACCCCGGACAGGGCGCTCCCACGGAGTTGCCTCCCGGAGCCCGACTGCTCCGAGGCTGCCAAGGGCTGGCGCGCGGGCCGCGCTCCGCTCCGGCGAGCAGGCGGAGCGGGGCTCGGAGGTGATCAGTACAAGTGGAAAGTGCTGCGGCGGCGACGACGGCTACGCTCGGTGCCAGGCGGCATCTGGGGTGGGTGCGCCCGATTGGGAGAGGGGAGAGGGGCTGGCGCGCCGAGGCGGTGGGGGGAAGGGCGCGCGGGGCGGGGCTTGGGCGCCGTGGAGCCCGGGACCCGCTGGAGGTGAGGGCTGAGTTTTCACCACTCCTCACATCCAGGGCTCGCGGTTGGACGGGCGGAAACCTTGGGAGCTCGGATCGCTTTGTGTCGGGGGTGGGGGTGGCTTGGGGGAACCCAGCTTAAAAACTGCGAAGTGGACACCTCGTTTTCTTTCCTGAGTTTTTATCCTCGTAAGGGGGAGGGGAAGTAAGGGGAAAGCGGAGGAAAACTGATCAATTTCTCACTTCCCCAGCCCAACGATTTTTTTTTTAGACAAGAGATCGAAAATGATTTAGTGTCCAACCACAAAGCTGGAGTCGGGACACTTGGGTTCTGTTCCCCCCACCCCCCAGGCCACAACACTAATTTTCTAGGTGACCTTGGGAGGGTTAGTGTCCTTCGGTTTGGGTTTCCCAGATGTGAGAGGTGAAATCGTGCCCCCTGCACAAGGGGAGGCTAGCTATCTCACACACACACACACACCCCTCCCAACAAACAGACGGACCCTTCTAAGGGGAGATGCTGCAGAAAGGCAGAATGTTATTATTAGAGGACACAATATAGACATCAGCTTTTCTCTGCCTCTTTCTGATGCTGCCAGACAGTCTGTCAACTCCCACTCAGGAGCAAGGAAACTCCCTGAGTTTGGAATATTTTAAGGCCATTTTGAAAGTCACACTGGCATATTGTTGCAGTGTGCTTCAGTGACATATAAAATCAATCTCGCTGCCTTTCTCCATCTCCTAATTGTCACAGTTCTAGACAACCCCAGACAGCCGTGGTCCAGTTCACTACGTAACTGGATATAATTTAATGGACTTAATTGGTCCCTGAAGCTGCCTGTAGAAGACTTTTATATTCTAGCTCCAAAAGAGAGAATACCAAAATATATCATAGGATAAGTGAGAAATCACCTCCAAATTGGAGTTCTTGCACATCTAATAAAATGTAATACAAATTCATTAGTTATTAAATAGACCTGCATTACTTTGTTTTGTCATTTTGGTTTTCTGAGAGTCTATTTTCCTAACAGCACAAAACGTAAATCAGATTGAAATGGAATGTGTGATTTTCTCAAACAGTTATATTTTTAATTACATTTACATATTTTTAATTACATTTCAAAGCAGGTTAATAAGATACTTTAAGACAAAGAAACAGTGACATGAAACCCTTATAATCTTATATGATTTAGACAAATATTAAGGTTATACATTTTGACAAAACATATTAAATATAAGTTCATATGAGAACATTGTGGATATGCCAGGAGACAAATCGTGTTCTCTTAAAAAAAAAATTAACAGTTAGCCTATGTAAAATCCTATACAGAAACTAGTATTTACTGAGCTTCTGCTCTCTGGTGGGCATTGTTGAGGTTAATGTAAATCTGAAGGTCAGAATGGTTCACTGTCTAGTGAGGGGAGCTTTAAAGTTCCTTACGTTGTTTCAATGTAGGACCCTTTAATGTTTTTGAGCAGAGAACTGACATGAACTAACCTGTGTTTTAGGAACTTGTAAGGGAAATTACCAAACTTAGACTATTCTACTTTTTTCTGGATGATGACAATTCAGCCTGTGTTAAAGAACTCAGAAGCACACACACAATTATGTAGACACTTGATTTATGACTGGATTGGTATTGCAGGGCAGTGGAGAAAGAATGAGCTTTTCAATAAATGATTCTAGGTCAAATGGCTATCCATATGGAAAAAATGAAATTGGAGCCCTGCCTCACAAAAGGGAAACAAAAAAGTTCAAGTGAATTAAAGACCTAAATTAAAAAACAAAATGATAAAGGTGTTAGAAGATAATGTAGGGAAATATCTTTATACCCTTGAGGTAGGGAGAGATTCCTTTAATAAGGTGACCAAGAGTGCAAATTGATCAGTTTGACTATATGAAAATTGAGAACACTCGTTCATCAAAGGATCCTATAAAGCGAAAAAGCAAGCCACAAAATAGTTATGTCTAATCCATAAAACTATAAAAAGTTAATATATGAAAGATACAAAGCACTCCTTGGAATCAATAAGAAAAAGAGAAACAACTTTTTAGAACATGAGCAAAAGACTAATGCATATTTCAGAGGAGGAAGCTCAAATGTTCCTATAACTTGTGCAAAGATGCTCACACTCATTAATAATAAAGGAAATGCAGGTTAAAATAATAATAAGACACCATTTCACACTTACCAGATTGACAAAAAACAAGACTGAAAATATTAAGCATTAGGTGAAGATGTGGAAGAGGGGAAAATCTTGAAAACTGCTTTCCAAAAAAGTGAATTGGTACAACCACCGTTTTAGAAAAGAGTTTGGCATTGCCCAATTTCATTTGCATGTATACTGTGACGCAGTAATTCTACATGTAGGTACATACCTCAGAGAAAGCATTTGTAAATGCACCAAGAGAAATATACTGAAATGTTCACAATATACTAAAAATTCAAATGTCTACCAATCGTTGAATGGATAAAGAGGTTCTGGTACATGCACACAATGGAACACTTTGCAGCAGTGAAAATGAATAACCTATAGTTAAAAGCATCTACATGTATCTTTTCCAAAATTGATGTTGAAGAAGCAAGTCAACCTAAAGCATCATTCCATTTGTATCAAGTTCAGAAACAGAAAAAAATAACTAAATAGTATATTGTGTAAGAATGGTGCATGAATAGTAAAACAAAAAATTTTACAAAGAAAAATAAGGAGATATCAGAAAATTCAGAATGGTGGATATCTCTGAGGGAGACGGGTGAGATATTCAGGGAGGCACCAAAGGGGACTGGTAGAGATGGTAGCATTTCATGTTTTGCATTGGGTTGTGGATACATAGGAATATATTTCAATGTTTTTCTTTAAGTGGTTCGTAGACTTTTTTGTATGTTTGCCATATTTTATACTAAAACATTTTAAAAACAAAACTCAGCTTTTAATTTTAATCCCGATCACTTTCAAACAAATACAAAAGCAGAGAGAATAATGAGCCAACTTCAATACTTATCAACATTTGTCAATCTTGTTACACCAGTACCCACACCCACACCCACTCACACACCCACACACACAAACATGTTTTATTTTTCTGTAGTATTTTGAAGCAAATCCTAAACATCATGTTGTTTCACCTGCAACTATTTTAATATCTACTTCAAACAAATAAGAACTTTTTTTAACACAATATCATGATCACACCTAACAAAATTCATAATAATTTATTAAGATCAACTCATACCCCATTCTTGTTCATTTTTCTCTGGTTATCTAAAAATCACTTTTGTAGTTCATTTAAATCAGATTGAAACAATGTCCACATCTTAAATTTGGTTGATGTATCACATAAGCCTCTTTTAATATATAAAAGTTTGCTCCCACTCACTTTTTAATTTGATGTTTATTTGTTAAAGAAATCAGGGTGTTTGTTTTATAAAATGTCCCACATGGCTGATTTCAACCTCCTGGTGTCATTTAAAGTGATGGTTAGTTTTAGAGGTTTCATTACATTCAGGTTCACTTTTTTTTTTGGCAAAGAATGCTTCCTAGATAGAGCTGAACATACATAGGTGATGTGATATGCAGCATATCACATCAGGAGACACATAATGCTTGATTGTCATTTTTAGTGATACTAAGATTGATCAGAAGTTCTGGTATTATCAGTCTGATTTATCCATTAAAAAGTTCCATGGTTTTAATAGTCATTCATGAGTGTTACCTTAACCCATTATTTCATTTGGTGTGACAGAATTATGGTTTTAAAATTTTATCATTTCTTTTGCAGTTATTAGTTAGAAATTGTCTATGGAGAAGAATTTTTTTCAAACTCTTTGGTTAACTTGAAATACAATTAGCACAGGAAAAGTAGGATAAATTTTTCCCTATTTACTAATTTTCAGAATAATGAGTTGATGCCATAGGAAACTCCAAAGCTAACCGGTTTTAAATAATATTCTGAACTTACAGGTTTTTACATATTTTATTTGTTTCAAACCATGACAGTCATTATTCTTACTGGTGCGCAAATTGTCCCATCTTTGGCCGATGGGAGACTCTTTGACTTGGCTCCTGTGTCTTCTTCTTCTTTTTTTTTTTTTACCAGATCCCAATAGTCTGATAGATTTTTTGCTTTCTCGTTTGATAAAATTGTCCCAGGTTGTTGTACAGCTCATGCCCAAACCTGGATCAGCTATTTCTCTAACAAACCCACATTGGCTTGCTCTTAAAAAAAATTTTTTTTAAAAAATAACGAATTCTTTGAAATGTGTTCTTCATACTTAGCATGTTTGGGAGAAGGAGCTCATGAAAGATTCTTAATGAAATTTGTGCCAAGATGACCCCTAGGAGAGCATGAGCCACTGAGTGATGTTCCCCAAGAGAAGCTGTAATTTACACCTTCGCCAACATTTAAGAAGCATCCTCTATAAGCAGGACACATATAGGTATCACTGGGGATGCAGTTGACTTGGTGTTTGCCCGCATGGAGCTTACCATCTAGTGAGAGAGACAGAAATAAAACAACAGTAAATTGTTGTAAACTCTATGAAGAAAGCGACAGTATGATGGGAGGAG